TGCCATCTAACTTGGCCGGAACCACACTTGTTCTTCATGTTGTTATTCATTAAAATCAGGGCCAAGTGCTTTTGTCTCAGCCCTAGACTGGCTACTGGTACTGTGTGGATCGGGTCCGCACCAGAGGTCTCAAGTGGGTGCCCGGGCCCAGTCCCAGTCCCAGTCTCAATCTGTGTACCGGCTAATCTGCATTGTCTGCGTTTCGTAACAGGGAAGAAGATACACTTGTCGCATTGTCCTGCTCCTTTCAGGCGCAGCGCAGCACAGAGATGGTCGCGTGATATGGAACCCTCTCACGGATGGAGTTCCTGGAGCCAACAGCCAGATGGATAGACTCCTACGCTGATAATATTCTTATCCCTGTATCTACGGCTTTAGGTGGAATTTTCACTTTTATTGTTTAAGCTTTCAGCACAGATTGTGCGCGTATTATTGAAATCCCTTTTGTGCGCCCCGAGCATGCCGCACACGCCGCTACACACGCTCGATTCCTGCACCTATCCTAACTCCACTCACCCGCCCTCGACTCCAGTATTGCATTGTTTCCCATTGGTATCTGGCTTTGGCGATGCCATTACCCCACCGCTTCACACCCAGCTTCGGCTTCCAAGTGCGCGCGCTTCTTCGATGCTCCATCTTCTGATTTGTACAGAACAAAGCCTTGTTGCGAATGGCAAAGTTATTTGAAAGCATTGATTACATATTGATAGCGATGGCAGGCACTAAGACCTGAGACCTGAGACCTGAGACCTGAGACCTGAAACCTTCACCATCGCCAAGTCAAACCAAGTGAAACCACCAACCGCAAGCCAAGATCCGAGTTGAGAATCACTCGGAAAATACTATCAGACAAGGATGTTGCTGCTACTTCTGCTACCTCTGCTGATGCCATTCCACCGTGCTGCTTATCCTTGTCAATTGATATTTCCTGAAACTTCAACGAATTTGGGCCAAGTGTTTCCCCTACGGATAACAAAATGTTTGTTGCTCGGCGCCAGCTTATCACAGATGGGTTTATTTTTTGCGGGAGTTCAGCTAGCTGTAGTTGTAGATGATTATTGATACGTACATATATTAATTAGCAACATTAAACCAGACAGACAGAGAGCCATAAAAGTATTCCCAAGAAAATCCTACAGTAAGCAAATACTTTAAGTTCTCAACAAAAAGTGCATTCGATTCGTTGATTGTTGTTTTCCAGGCTTGTTTGGGCTGGCATATGTGCATTACACGTGGTGTCCATGGCAACAGCCATTGGATTCGCTTTTGTGGATGCCTGAAGAGATGACAATGAGTGCCTTGGAAGGGTGCCGCCTGGCCGGGAAAATTCTGGATTGGAGTCTGAGCAGCGATGGATGGGCTTGCATTGCAATTTAATGCGCAATGGCCTTCCGGATATCCGTTTAAAGGCCATGAATACATAAATAATAATATTGTATTTGTTTATTGCACGCAGAAACACACACACACACAGACAAAGACAGACAGACACGGCGGCCCTTACACACTGACTTTATATTGCATTTATTTACCTTTGCGAATAAAATATATATCGATATTTTTTTTGTTGACTTAATGCAATTTAAACAATATACAACAACATTTAAAGCAAGAACGATAAAAGTCAATGGTAAAAACTATATATTCAAAGGCAGTGTACTCGCACTCGCATATTTATTCACATATTGACTACAATATCTGTGTGTTCCACGGCCAGAGATTGCCTATTATGGTCTGGGCTGTGTGTGCATGTGGCATGGACAAGGACTTCCGTTTTCCTGTGGCTTGTTAAAAATTATTTAATTTTATTGAATTTTATTGTGTGTTGAATTGTTTGTTGCGGCTGGTAGGGAACAATAATCCAAAGTCATTGTTACATGCCTGCAGTGCATAATAAATGAGAATCGTGCACATTGAAAGGGCACATCTCTGGACTCTGCAGATGCTAATGCATAGCTATTTCCTCTGTCCTTCAGGCAGAGGGTCTTTGTGTGTGTGTGAAATGAGACACACCACGACCCCAACCCACTCTGTGCACTTTCGTGCTGGATCAGAATATGCAGCTGGAGAAAATTAAAAATGCCATTGGCACGGCGCCCTATCCGTCCAGCATGCAAATGCATGTCCCTGTCATAGAGTTACACAAAGTGCTTAATCAAGCTTAAAAGAAAAGGACTCGAAAAGAGCCACATGCACAGCCAAAGTAAAACAAAAAAGCGGGCAGCCCCGACCCCAACCCAAACCATAGATGGACGAAACGAATACGAGTACGGCTCACATTGACTGTGTGCAAAATGAGGTGAAGTAGTTAAAAATTAAAAAGGACACTTAATCCAGTCAATGTCTTGCCGCCGCCGCCGTCACCGCCGTCACCGTCGCAGTGCCGTTGCATCCTTGCATGGTAAGTGAAACACCAAACCCCCAACGAGGACCCATCGAGCGCTGGGATTAGCCGCTGCCTGCCATGGGGTCTGAGGGTGTTTTCATTTGATTTGCCTTGTCCCAGCAATGGGGCCATGTGTGGGTGGGATAGTGCCTGGGTTTTGCATGTGGGTAATGTTTGCCCATTTTAGCTCACAAGAAGTGCAATTATGTGCACAAAATGGAAAATGAAGTAAGAAAGTGGAGCAATTGAAAGCGAGAGATGGAGCTGAAGCACAAGCAAGAGGTGGAGTTGGGACTGAAGACTGGAGATAGAAATGCAGATGCAATTGCAATGCAAAAGGATAGCTAAAGAGGGGGACTCCTACACACACAATGCTGAGCAATTTAACCCACATTTGCATTGAAAAGAAAATGGAAATTACCAGCGTTATGATGTGGAAATGGAACAGACACTGCTGGGATGATAAAGATCTTCCCACATTATCTGACTAATTAAAGAAATGTTCCACACATTACCTGATTGGCCACAACTTTAGTTGGAGTTCAGTTCTTAGCCATGGAGGGTCGTCGCTGTCTGTTGTCCGCCGCTCGGCCTTATATGCAAATATTCTCCGTGTTCGCACTGACGCCGCCGCCCAACTTCTTCGACAGAGCTACGTATAGACGTCTGAGGCGGTACTTGATAGTGGGCTATGCACTTTATTCACTCTTAATTCTTGGCTTTGTCATACGCATGTCCTATGTGAATGTGGTGGCCTTGAACGAGGAAATCAGAGAGTTTCATCTGGAAGATTTTACCAAGGCCATGGGCAGAGTGCAGAAGTTTGTGCTCGCCACCATGGGAATTGCCAACCACCTGAACATGCTGCTCAACTTCCGTCGATTGGGCCACATCTATGAGGATATTGCAGATCTGGAAAGGAAAATAGATAATGCCTCGCAGTGCTTTGGCGGACAGCCGGGGGCGAACAGTTTTCGTTACCGTTTGGCCATCAGCTGCGGCCTGTGGCTCGTCGTGCTGGTCGCCTTGATGCCCCCTTTCACGATAAAGGCCATGGGGCCCTGGGTGACCTTTCCCAACAAAATTCTCTCTGAGCTCATTCTAATAATGTTGCAGCTCAAGTGCTTGGAATATTGTGTGTTTGTGGTGATGGTTTATGAGCTGGTACTCCGTCTGCGACACACTCTGCGGCAGCTGCAGGTGGAGCTGGTCGACTGCAATCAGCGCGACATGCTGCAGGCTTTGTGCGTGGCTTTGCGACGCAATCAGCAGCTACTCGGCCGTGTCTGGCGATTGGTGGGTGAACTGGAGAGATACTTTACGCTGCCCATGATGTTTCTGTTCCTGTTCAACGGTCTCACCATCCTGCACGTACTTAACTGGGCTTACATCAACCAATTCAATCCGGATGATTGTTGTCGCTATGGTAACACTCTGTCTAAGCTCTGTCTTCAGCTGTATGCACATATCTCTGCTTTCTACAGTGCGAATCGGAAACTGTATGCTGCTGCTAATCAATCCTCTCGTGGCCTGCTCTCTCAGTCAGCGTTGCATCAATGCTGTGAGTAATTCCCACCATATTCTGAGCTTAACTTCATTAAATATATTTTGCCTTTGCAGTACAACAGCTTTCCACGCACTCTCCATCGTATACGTTGCCTGCCTGTGGCTACCAATTTTCCCATACTATCCATGGGCCTGCGGGAATACTGCTTGCAGCTGCAACACCTCCGACTGCTCTTCACTTGTGGCGGTTTCTTTGACATCAATCTGAAGAACTTTGGAGGGGTACTAAAATATAACATTTAACTCTTATTAGATCCCCTTGTAATCAATTTTCTTACAGCTAATTGTCACCATTCTGGGCTATACAATAATTCTCGTACAATTCAAATTTCAGGCCGTTGCGGAGCAAAGCGTTCGTTTCATTCCGAATAACAAAAGCTCTACCAATAACGCTTAAAGCTTCGCCCATGTAGACTACATGTCAAGTACATGTACAATAATACATTGTAACTGAACATGAATAGTGAAATTTAAAACAGTTCTTAGCCTTTTTTTTGTATAATTTACGTATATTTTGGGGGCCAGCACACATCCACCCACTGTCATCATCGGTAAATCGTTATTGATTGGCCTGACCGAGAGGGGGGGATTACGTATGCTATTATTGTTTCACTTATTGCAATCATCATAATATCATAAATTGTGTGTATATAAAGTACAGTAGGTATGTATATCTAAACGCGTTTCTTTACATTGAACATTTCATGTTTTGTTTCATAATTCATCGGGAAGTTGTACTCATAATTAGTTTAGTTTACTTAATTTAAATAATTGCGACAATCCATCAACTTAGAAGTAAATGCTCTTACATGCTATAATCCTGTAAACCTACTGCCAAATATCTGCCTACCTAGACCCGTCTACAGTGCTCTCCGTTTTGTACAATTAAGTCTTAGTACTAATAGATTGTATAGAGTTTTGTCAGTTGTTGTTAGATTTGTGTGAAGTTGTGAAATGTTCGCTTGGATGCGATACAGATTCAGATTCAGCTTCAGTGTTGATAATAACTTTCAATTGATATAATCACAGACTAAATAACTGGAATAACTTTCGGAAGTATTTTGTATATTTAACTATCATTGAGGAATATAATTAACTAATTAAAATTGCCCCAGCAAAAAGAGTGCTTGGGCCACTCAAAATACATGCCATAACCATAAACATCTCATACCATACATAGTCCTTTTGCCAACAAATCAATCTAAACAATTCTCAACGCGATTATTTTAACAGACATATTTTGCACTTAGTTCTAGTAATTATCTCAGTGATTGCAACATATTGCCACTGGCAGTTACATTTCGAGTTTCAATTGTGTGTTTGTGTGTGTTTAATATAAAGCTCCATTACAGTTAAAGTTCATAATAACGATTGGTATATGTATGTGTATATAAAAAAACATGTGTATGTGTGAGGAAGGACACTGGTGGTCTTACATAGCTAAGGGCTTACACATTAATCGCTCTTTCGAGAATTACTCTATTTAGTACATCCTTGGGGGCTAGCTAGCTACTCAAAACAGGTCCATGTTGTCGTTCATATAGCTTAACAGATAGTACACATAAATAAAAAGACACACTGTAGGCAGGAGATAATTCAGCAGTAGGTTAACTATTATCCCGTCCCATGCTTCCCGTTCTCGAACAGGCCCTTCTTGAAAAAAGACGACAGTTGTACGAGGGAGGCACGCGTGAGGCCCGGCCCCCCAGGTCCCTCATATATCGGGCATTGTGGTATCTTTGAGCAGACCACAAAAAGTCGACGCAAGTACAGCTCCAACAGGCGTCGACGATGCTTGGCCACGGGCTCGCTGTTCGACGCAAACAGCTCCCGGCGTGGAAATGGTAATGCAGAGATCTACAGTGGGAATAGGGAATAAAATAAGTAAATTGTGTGAGTGTTTATTTTATGACACGTTACCTTGGCTCCATAGCAGTGCTTCATGCACAAATGCAGCTCACGGAAGCGACTGTAGCGACGTAGAATGTTCAGTTTGCCATCGGGCAGTGCGATGCGCACCTCGTACTCGTAGTGAGTCTGCTTGCCAGCTCCACGCATCACAAAGGAGGGTATCGTGATGAAGTGATCACCCTCAGCTGCTGAATGGGAGAGATGAAAGAACAAAATAAAGACCAAACGTCAGAGGAGAGTCAGACTTTAACTACTTACGAAACTCCCGCATGGATGGGCAAGATCTTGTCATGCTGGGTGGATAGATTTGCGATGTTGACTCCTCCATGCTGGTGGGGCTCATCACACTCGATCGCATAATGGAGCTGGCCAGCTCGTACTGTCGCTCCATGCCAGACCGCTCATCGGCACAGCACTGAGCGTGCGCTTCCAAATCCTGCACAGTCTGAAGCATTTCCTGCTCCATTTGAATGTAGCGTCTCTGCAGATCCTGCAAATCGGCAATCTGCTCATCCAACTGCGTCTTGTTCAGGTCAGACTCGAGGTTCTTCATTATCAATGCCTTCTGGGCGGCAATTTTACGGCGCAACGAGTGCAGCGGACAGTAGGGACGCAACATATCCGAATGTCGGCCCAGTTCACACGAGGAACAGGAGCCCGTATCCTCATCACTGGTGCGCACGCTCTGCTTGTAATTGTTGAGGTGTCCATTCTGGAGCAGCGCCTGCGTTCGACTGTCCAAGCACACGCCACTGTCGCTCATGATAGCCTGCGAGCTGGGCGTTGCTGTGGGTGCACCAATTCCGGTGCTGACACTGCCACTACCGCTGCCACTGCCGCTGCTTGGGCCGGCAGTGCAGGTGCGTGAGGCATCTTCGCTGCTGCCTGAAATGTCATCATCCTTGCGTGTGTCCTCCGCCTCATCCTCTGCCTCGCAGGAACAATTGCTCAGCGGCGTCTGTTGGCCCTCCGTGATGGTTGGCGATGAGACAAGCGAGAAATTGGATTGGGCGGTATGGAAGGTATCACAGGTTTCATAAGTATCCGATTTGGACACATCGTCTGCTTCGTTTGTGCTGGTCGATGTGGACATGGACATGGACTTGTTGCCGAGCTGCAGCTTCATTGTTTGCTTCCTGGCACGCATCGCCTGCGCCTCTGCCTCGCTCTCGGCGCGTTCTACACGCAACTGTTCCAATTGAGCTTGAATTTCCAGCATGGTCTCGTCCACTTTGGCTATTTTGCTGGTGCTTGCATTGAGTATGCGCTCCTTTTCGGCTATTTCCTCATCCAACTTGCGGATTTCTTCGTTCTGTGAAGGGCGTCACAAAATATTTTAAATGGTTTTGGTTGGATTTTGTCAACTTACATTTCTCCGTACAGTGTCCTTGATAAATTGAGCGGCAAACAGATCCAACGAGTCAGAGACCTGCAACAGCAACTCATCATTGAGAGGAGTGCCTTCCTCGATCTTCATGCCCATCTATGGAAATGGAATAATTTAAATTAACATTTTTGACTATATTAATGCTACTTTTTCTACGACAAACTACTGTAAGTGCTAGGCAAACGAATTCTAAAACAAAAAACAAAGAACAAACCTCATCCAGTTTGCCACAATCTTGCAGTTCCTGCAATTCTTTAGCTACATACTCTGAGAAATCGCGTTTCTTAGAGTCGAGCTGCGTCTGAAACGCTGAAATTTGTCTACACACAATGTCGATCTAAAACGAAAATGGAACGAACGTAAAAATCATAAGAAACACAAGCCATAACATAGGAAATGATAAGCACAGAGAGAGAGAGAGAGAAAAAGAGAAACAAGAATAGAGAGACAGGCACATAACAAGCACACAAAGGAGTCTCCATGCAATCCATGCAACTCGCATGCAAAGAGAGGCAAAGATCCGTGAGACGCACCTGAACCTTCTCGTTGGTTTTCTCCCACAGCAGCATATCTTTACGTGCAACCAGCTCCTGCTCTCGGCAGTTTAGTATCTGCAAGCCATCCATTTCCTCATGCTCCAGGCGTATGAGCTCCTCTGTCAGCTTCCGCACCTTCGTCTTGTATTGGTCGTGCATCTGAACGCGTTCCTACAAAGAAAGAACAGTGATAAGTCTCTCGGATATCTCTTGCATTCTCCCCATTCACTTACCACATTCAACTGCTTCAAGGCATTCTCAATCGTGTCGAGTATCTTGCGATTCTCATCCTGCAGCTCTGGATCGTCCCGCGACATGGGACGCTGTGGATAATACTGACGTTCGGGCCGCTTATACGGCGACGCACCATCCTCATCCGAGTAAATGCTGCACGTGAGCAGATTCTCCTTCGATGAGGTAATCAGCGACAGTCGCGACATATCCAACTGTGATCGACTCAAGTCCTTGCGCAGCTTGGCCGCCTCCGCGGGATTGTTGAACCGAAAGATATTCGTGCGTCCCAGCAGTATGATGTCGCCCTGCGAGATCTGCTTCGGTTCGTCAATCAAATGGGCATTCACCCAGCACTGGGCCAGGGGCCAGGGATGCAGCGTAACCACTCCACCCTTCAGCACAATGCTGCAGTGCTGTGCGCGTATGCCATCGCCTGCCAGCTCAATGTCCTGCGCAAGCTCCGCATCCTCTGTGCCTATGCGTGTCTCTCCCTCTTTGAGGCTGTAGAGGGTGACGCCGGTGGTCACATCATTGTGGATGCCAATCAAATGCGGCATCTCTGAGTCGAGGACCACTCCCACACCGGATTTACGCAGCCCAAGACTCTTTTGCTCCTGCAGAATGGACTGCGCCACCTTCCACTTCTCCGTCCACTCTTCGGTGAGCACTTTCTCCTGTGCCTCCTTCTTCTGCAGATCAGCGAGTACCTTCAGCGATGGCTGCAATGATTGCTGCAACAAAAGAGGAATAAGAACTAGTACGAAAATGCATTCGCCGACTTACTATGTCACCCGTTAGCATGGACTTCAGCTTGTTGATCTCCTCCCTGAGCTCTCGTATCAGCTTCACATTGGAATCCTCGTTGACTGTTGGCTTATTGATGATGTTCTTCGCACGATTGGCATACCGCAGTGTGCTCAGCGTTTCGCTGTAGTTGCAATCCGCTGGTGAGAGTGCAGCAATCATGATTGTCTTGCTGTTGCCACCCAAACTGTCCTTCAGCAGCCACGTGAGTATGGAGTCGCGATAGGGTATGTACAGCACACGCTTGCTGGCACTATTCGGGGTTGTGGCCAACGTGGAATTGTTGTGTGCGGCACTCGTCTGCTCCGCCAGAGCGGATATGACGCTGCCCAGCGTCACCAGGGACTTGTTGATGTGTGCACCCTCCTTGAGACGCTGACCCGTTGCACCCGTTGCATTGGCACGCTCACTAAAGGAAAAAGAGAGGCAGAGAAAAGACATGTTAGTGCGCTTTCTAGCTTGAGCTTCATGCTCCGGTTACGCACCTGCCCGCCAAATCGACCAAATGGATCTTCGAGACTGTCTCGCTTGGCATGTCATTCATGAAGACCGCCTGCACAAATGTGATCGTGAAGATTGCGTGACTGCGACTGCTCGTATCGTTCATGTTGGTGCTGGCCGTGGTGCGTTGCGCATTCCCTCGGGCGATGCACTCCTGCAAAGGGATAAAACAGAGGTACATAATTAGTATAATTAAAAGATTCATTCAGCCATTTTACTCACCTGAATCTCATCGAAATCGGACACTGCATGCTGCGACAGATTCTCCACATAGGGACCCAGACTCCGATGCTCGCGCACTCTCAGCCCGTGTCCGGTGCTCTGTGCTGCCAGTAGATCCTTTACCCTTTCATTATAGATCTCCAGATAGCTGGCATGTGTGCGATAGCCCGTTCCCGATTCCTGGCCCACGCGCATTCGATTGAACAACTCCTCGCAGATGCGCGGTATCAAGCCCGGATTGTTCGGTGTGCCCATCATCGTGAAGGTTTTTCCAGAGCCCGTCTGTCCGTAGGCGAACACACATGCATTGTAGCCTGCAAAGAGGTAAAGCAGCAAATGTTAAAAAGGTTGCCCCATGCAGTCGAGCGTGTCAATGGGCAGGAGAATGGGAATTAAGTCTGTCAGCGCATGTCAAGCTCTTTTGCAAGCCATTCCCAAGCATTCTCTTTTGCAGAGGTTACTTGTGCGCCTCGAGTCATGTGGGAGAGAGCTCAGTAGCTGCTCCATAGAGTATACAACTTCCAGATAGATCGATAATTGGATCTCTGCTGCAACTAGTAATAGCAGGAATGAACTTGAACAAGGTGCAAATGGCAGATAAGCGAATTTCCCCACTCTGTGTAGAGCTTTGCTTGGCTGTCAAGTGTGAATTATCTGTATTGACATTGATCCCATAGCAATTTAGTGTCATTTTTATGACACAAGTATATAAGATATAACATTCGGTGTAGTGAGACAGACAAACATTCTAAACTACAATTATTCACTTAATGAAGCAATAAAGTTTGCAATTTGTGTGCATGAAAGTACTTTAAGTGGCATCATAATTAGGTAGGTGGTGGATGTCATAATACTCATGAATCATGGCTGCAAATGTTACTAAACCATCTAAGATGTTGCATTCAAAAAGTCGTGACAAAATCTGTGGCGCCTAAGCGCGCCCCATCTCATTCATTGCTGCAACCGCATCAAATGTCCGTCAAGTAAAATGGAGAGTGGAATAGCGAGTGGCATGAGTCGCGGCATAGACAGACAGATGTCACGCCCAGTGGGCGGTTTAAACACTTCAACAGATCGTTGTGACTAGCCACCCGCAGGTGTGGCTAAGATTAGATTTGCCTTAACTTTTCTTTTCCATCTTGTCATCGGAGCCCGCACAAGTGGCGCAACAACAATTGGCCATCTGTCCAGCGTTTAGGCCAGTCCCAGTCCCCCCTCGTTCCACATGGCAAAGACTCATGCAGTGAATCCACTTGGAGACGAGTCATCGCAGCCAGTGGGACGCCACTTGCAGTTTTTTTTTTTTTTTTTTGGTTATGGCTCGTTTTTCTTGGCTTGTTTTCCTAACTGCATAATTCCTTCAAATGTTTGTCATTCCCAAGCCCATGCCTCATCCACTTCCCAGTTGGCCAATCTGCCGGCCTCTGCTTGTAATTCAATATTGAAAGCGTGCCAAACAGCAGAGTAGACGCCAAGCAGCCGACAGCTGTTCCATTTCGCTTGCCATTTTCGCTGTTGTTGGTTGGCTTTTTTTGTTTTTAGTTGTATTTGTTGCTTAGTTTCGATACCCTTGAAGTCCGGGGGTCTAATCATTTAGATTTAACGTGTTTGAAGTCGTTTCCTTATGTGCATCACGATTGCTTCATATACAATAAAACGTTTTTTACAACTGAATTTATTCTGAATTTATTACAGCTTGCTCATACGCTGAGTAACGTTTCAAGGGTATCAAAAGACTGCCTTCCTTTTTCTGCGATTTTGCAATGAAATAATAAATTAGTTTTTGCTTGCTTTTCCCCATCTATCCATCGCCCACTGGAGCTCAAGCTCAAGTGAAAGCGCGTAAAAAAAATCTACGCATTAATTGCAGGGAAAATCTTCGCAAGGCACGTGACACCCAGGCACACAGAGGCGCCTTTGGCGGTGGCAAGCAATCGATCAAATCTAACCCCCCAGTGACATCAGTGCCACCAAGGCCACCGTAGAGGACCACTGATGATGGCTCCTCCAGACAGCCCGGAAATTTGCATGATTATATCAAGTCGGTTAATTCGAGTCGAAGTTTTTGGTTTGGGTGTACAGTGAAGCTTCTATTTTTAGACACAAATGTTGTTTACCATAAGGAACGATTTTTGGTGGTACCAAAAGCAGACGCACAAAGCAAATGTAAACAAAACAAATGGAAGTGCAGGCAAACAGCAGAAATGGAAAAACGAAAAAAAGAGAAAACTCTCGAACCGGTGGGATGTTGTATGCCTGGCGGCCGTTGTGGGTGTCTCTGTGTGTGGCTAATGGGAAAATCTAGCTGTCATGTGGCACAGACCCCGTGAAAAAAAAAGATGGGCAATTAGTTGGGTGGGGGGGAAGAGGTTAATGCGTCACGACAGACAGTCACCCCAATGGGTGTTGGGTAATAGCCATAGCGGTGTGGATCGGGTGCGCCGTGACCCCAAAAAAGTTCGAGCTGTGTCTCTCTCTCTCACCTTCGTAGGCACAATCGACCACATCGTTGCCCAGATCGCTGTACACCTGCTCCTGGGTGGCAAAGTGCGGATCCTCGGCATCGAATGACCAATATGAGTAGTCGAAGGTGAAGTCATGATGACTGTCCCTGCCGGCGTCGCGTATCGACTGCAGTCTTGGCTTACTCAGTCGCGTCTTCTTGCCCTCCATCTCCATGATGAGCTGCGCGTCCATGTCATTCTCACTGCAAATACGAGTAAAAATATTGTTGATGAGCAAATTACATTTTCATTTATTAGCTGTCGAAAATAATTGTCGGCCTTGGCTTGGGAGATTGTCTGACGTCGATAAACCCTACTGCCCATTGTTAGGATTTATATAACAGTCAGAGGTACTCCCAGCTCCCAGCTCCCAACTCCTCTCAGTTAACGAGTTTTCGTGTCGAAATAATGCTATTTTTATTCCAGCTTTTGCTCATAAATATTCCTAATAACGATTTTTGCATGCCCCGAACAAATGGGAAAAATGACGACAACCCACCACACCCCGCGCAGCCCCTTTTCCCACCCATTGGCTGGGAGCTGGTGCCATGCCATGCAATCCAATTGACATATTCCACTGGCAGCAGCAGCAAAACACAGCTCCAAATACGGCTCTCTGTGATCAGGCGACAGCTACAACTACAACTACAACTACAAATTATAAATGAAAATCCGGTTTGCAGGGCATAATAAAATGCTGGAAAACTTGATTGCAACATCAAAAGGAAGAGCGACGCAAATGAAAGAGACGCAAAAACAAGGCATAGAACATTTGTTCGTTTAAAGATGGGCAGAGAGAGAGGGGAACCGGGAAAACGGGGAATTGTGGAACCGGTTGACTTGAGTTCATAGGGGCACCCACACACACACACACACACACACACACACGTACAGTATATACTCGTGCATTAAAGAAAATAAACAGAAGAGCCCATCATCATCCACGAATGCCAGACCAGCAAATTCAATGGAATGATAGCCAGGGAGCTGTCTCTGAATGCTGTTTGGAACTCTATCTATAGGGGTCATATATATCAGATAAAAAAAAGTAAAACTATGCTGTTGTCGGATTTGAAATTTATTTTATTTTTATTCATTTATTGTTTGCAAACAAATAATCTCTTTACTCCCAAGATCATTTGTCTTAGGCAAACATCTCTCGAGAGACGTGAGAGCTCTTTCATTACTAATTGCAGAGAAAACCAAAATAACTGGCATTTAAAATTAATGATCCAAGTGTTTCCTCTTAAGCGGAGGGCGTGGTACTGCTGCCTGCCTGCTCCGCCAATTCAATTCAAAACAAAATAGAAGTTAATTTCCATTCTCTACTCTTAGCAAGGGTATTTGTGTGTCGGTTTGCGCCCATTTCTCTGCAGAAGTTACTGCAATTTCTTGTCCCATTTCAAGCGGTAGTTTTAGGTCATTCCTCTCTTCTCCCCATAGCGTGGCATGATTATACGCTGCTCCACTTGGCAGTTCTCTGCACTGCCCTGCTCTGGCTACAGAGCTCCTCTGGGTTCTCAGTGCGTTTTGAGTTTGAGTGGTTTTAATTCGTTAATCTTCGGCCTGTTGTTGAGCGCAGACATTCGCAGGCTGAACCAGAGCCACAGATTACATGAATGAGAGCTGCTGCTTGAGCGGGATTTGTGGATGAGCATTTGTTCTCTTTGCTGTGGTTGCCCTGACAATTCCGAGAGTCTGCGTTGATTCATGTCTCAAATTAAACATTCATGCAGCCAGCCGCTAAAAACGAACAAAAATGTGTGTTGCCTGAGCCGTGAGTCATGTGGCAGCAGCGGCAGCAACTACTCGTACAATACATTATGAGAGAGATATGGGAACTTGTTTTGGTTTCGGATTCGTGCTAAATATTCGTTTTTACGAATCAAATTGAATCGTTTTTTTTCTAGCTTTTTGGGTGCAATAAACATACTCATACTTGTGGATAATTATTGTAGGTTTTTCCTTCTGTTTTTCGTACATTCAGGCAGCACTCTTGCATGACTACGATGATGATGATGATGAGGATGGTGTGGAGAGCCAAGCAAAATATGTGTGCTAAAACTCTGTCTATTTGGAGGCTAACAAAAACAGTTGTACCCAATGGATGGATATTTTTTTGTGGCCAAAACCAAGCATGTTGAAGTGCTTTGCATAAGTCTACTGCGATAATGATGATGATGATGTCACAACTTCATAGCGAGCCCCCGGAGGGAGTTGTAGCTCCACTTTTTTGTTGCTTTAATAGTTACAGTTTTTGTTTCAGGCACAATTAACACACAACACGGAGAGTAAACCTATAAAAAATTACGTAGCTTATATTTTATTTTATCGAATGTGCGAGGAGATGAATGACATCATTACCCAGGTTCCATCTTTCTTTGTTTGGCAGCAGTTCTCTTTTTGCCGCTGCCTCTCTGCCTTTGGCTGTCTTTCTTTTCTTTCTTTCTTTCGCTTTGTGCGCAAGTAACTGTGCCAAAAGCAATGACCGCTGATAGACAAGATAAAGAAAAGACACACAAAAAAGAGCAAACAAATATAAAGGTAAATGTTCAAATGTTAATGCTCGCTGGCGGCTCGAACAAATAAAAAAAAAGAGGTACTATAATGTGGCTTCCAGTAGATAGACAGACAGATAGACAGACACATTGGGCAAGCCCCGGCACCAGCACAGACAGGCCATTCTGCCAGTTATTTGGTAGGTTGGTTGGCTAACCAAACAAATTTATGAAATCAAGACCTTCCATGTTCTACTAAGGCAATCCCGACGAAGCAGTCGCTGGCCTTGCACAGCTGAAAGGCGCTTCCATTGAGGGGTGTTCCACTCGTTTCCGTTCTATAGCAATATGTAAATCCAAATTTAATCTAAGGAAATGCAACAGCTCGCCCCCGCATTAAGGGGCGTTTATAAACATCCACTTAATCGCTGGTCTGGACAAACACTCTACTCCAAAAATTTCCATTTCCATTCCCATTCTTAATCCATAAATCCCAACGCTTACCGCGTGTTAAAGGGGCGAACCCGCACAGCAACCTTGAGCGATGACATTTCGGTGGTTGTTCCTGGGATTCTTGTAGTCCTTTTCCTATTGGATCTAAAGTTATGCGCCGTCAACTGGGGGTGGCTTCACGGTACAGTAGACCCAGATTCAGATTCAGATTCAGATGGTTGCAGTCAGGCAGCAGCAGGTTTGCCCACTGCCACGAGCCACGTAATTTGATTCGAGAGGGGGGAATGTGCGGGCGGGGGACTATGAGAAGCACTTCGATAATTGTCAACACTTTGTGGATATTTTTGTTTTCTTTTCCGCTCGTACACTTCTTGGCCTTGTTTTAGTTTGTTTTTCTTTTCGTTTTCTTGTGCACCGCCGCACTGCCGTTATGCCTTATATCGAGCAACAGCAGCAGGGCTCCGCTGTCCACGACTTGGCCGAACTTTGCGCGCCTGCACAGACAACTGCACATAATACTCGTACTAAACGTGATGATTGTGCGCAATTTAGTTTCAATTCACTTGCACTGGCACCTTTCTCGCAGTCATCATTCTTTGGTTAATTTCGTTTAATATCTGCTTGTATTGGTGTTACATTTTGGATGGGCACACACACACCAGCATATGCAAATTGCGTTTTAAATGGCTTAGCACACATCATATAAAGCACACGCGTCCATTGCAGCGCAAAAAAGAACGAGCCGTACACTATTTACACATTTGCACATACTTTTTCCACAATCTTTTAATGTTAAATGCGCGTACAACCGTTGTTATTGAGTTGAAAATGTATTGTATTCTGTTGTTTATTGTTATTTCTTAACACTAGGGCTGGGAGAAAAATCGACAGTGCCATCGATACTATCGATGATTGCCACTGATGGTTTCCCAGCCCTAGTTTTCAGTGGAACCATGGCTAAAATATACCAAAATATACCTTCTCATTTTAAATATATACTTTAGACTTGAATCATATTCCTCGATTTTGACATTCTATTTGATTTTACAAGCTAGTTAGGAATGTCAGCGCTAAAACTAGAATTTTATCCGATTTGAAAATCGATTCTACACAAGATTGGCTAGTTTTCATGACTTTCTTTTGTTGGAATGTTCACAAATTAGGTTTAAAACTAAAATGGTCAACCATTAAAAATACCATAAAACTTTACGTGTGTGGCTGTCCAAACGATTGCTATAATTAATATAATATAATAATATTCCATTCTACTAGCTGCTGTTAAACATAAAAAAAAGCTTTAACTTGGACTGACATGCTATTAACCTTATCATATGATTTCTATCCACTAATCTAGATACATTCTCGGTATCTACAGGTTGCAATATTTCACCAACACAGATTGACTTGTTTCAGCATAGATTGGAGCCAGAGATTTCAAAAAAATCCACAGGTATCACCATTTTGCCATTGTGAACTAACAATTTGTGGCCAAACGGTAATTTTTCTCTGCAATATCCTAGTGGTCGTTAATGGGTTAATCCATGCCCAAAATATCGGTATAATTGACAGCCTATCGTTGTCCAATTTCTCGTTGCGATTCAAATTGTTTTATTAGCAAAATAAATATATAATAAATATATGATTATAAGTAGTAAGTATAAAAACTAGTTAAAGCTCTTAATCACTTGCAACTAAGCCCCCTTTATCATACATCTGACACCACTCCAGAGCGTATTCGTACCCCAAGAAGGTGGCCGCATTGAAGGGCACCGCCCGAGCCACCAGCATCCAGCTGCCGCGGAAGATGCTCCTCCAGCCGTAGGCTCTGTAATTGACCTTCACACAGTGGAAGATGCCGCGGAATTTGTGGTTCTCGTCGGCCTGCATCAGCGTCTTCACGACATCGAATGGAATGACACAAACCCAAGAGATAACCCCGGCCCAGGCGCCGGCCAATGTGGTGATCAGCAGATTCACATTCGAGCCATCCGGATGACTGCGCCGCTTGCGCACAAAGTCGCGTTTGTTCAGGTAGTCGACGCCCTGACGGTAGGCCAGCATATAGATGCCATACGGCAGAACATCGCTGTGGAGAGACTCGAATTATATGGAGTACTTTCGCAGGACTCTGTCCACTTACCGACACATCATGGGCAGGAGACCGCGATAGAGACCAGAGAGGCCGTCAGCCTTGATTATCCTCTTGAATGTGCCAAAGGCTGTGCGTCGCTGGCCATAAAGGTAGTCATTATAATCTGTTGAAGCAAAAAGATTAATCAAACTCTTTCGGCAAGGGAAGAACTCCACCACTCACAGCATTGCGTCTGCAGTCGGACCTTTATCAGCTCCATGGGACAGGCGATGAAGGACTGCACGAATCCGGCTACGGATCCAGCAAGGAACATGTTGTGGTACTCCAGCTGCTCACGCTGGTAGTCGCTGTGGCACACCTTGCGCAGCTGTCGCAAATGGTTGCCATAGATCCCAAATAGCAGCGAGTTGATGGCGCCCGTCGAGATGAACGGGAAGAACATGCCCCTGTAGAAACCGTTGATCTTAAAAAGGATTGCTGACCGGCCAGTCCTCTGCGCACCCAACCACTTACCCCATTGTTGCGCCTGTAGATCTGATGGATGGCCGTCTGGACGGAGGAGTTGGATGCCTGCTGCCATACCTTGATCGTGTCCAGCGGATGGGCCACCAACACGCCGCAGGCTCCTGTGTGGATCAGATTAAATGTCAATTAACATTCCCATCATGTCGAGCACATGACCAGCGCACATGGGAAATAAGGGGGAGAGGGCTATCAACACATGTTGCATGTTGCCGAGTGCCAAATAATTCAACTACCGCACACAGAAATAAGCCTCGAAGATCAGGGGCGCCGCACGTGAACTTGACCATGGCGCCCGTCGGCGGCTGCGGCTGCGGCTGCTCTCCCCAACAAGTGGCACACAGATGGCAAACAGCCATTGCGTCATCCGTTCCCAAGTGCAACTCGCAGCTCTCCCAACTCTTTGGAATTTAATTTTTGTTTATCCTTTTTTACTTACCACCAAAGCATCCAGCCACGAAATCGCAATAGTTTTCCCACTTCATCGAGGATGATGCCCGAAGGACGGTGGCAACTTTGAAAATTGATTTTTCTCGCTTTGCGTTCGACTGCACTTGGCGACGGCAGCGACCAACTGCATTCGCTAGCTTTTGTGTCGTTGTTGCCAAAGCTCAAAAGCTGTGAGTAGCAAAATGCAACAGAAAACGTGACTTGACGGGGGGATACCTATTACACAATCGCAGCGGATAGCACAGGCCTTAAGTGATCTCTAAAACGATTTTCCTGTTGCTTTCCGATCAGTAAGAAATACAATTTAAATTATGGTCATTTTAAAAACCCTTTCAGCACAGTAATGGATATCAAAAATCTTTATCTTACGCTGCTGCGTTATACCCTTTTCTCTACACAAATAGTACAGGGTATTGAAAAGCTTTCAGGCCTTAAGACAAAAGCTGAATGCCACATAACCTTCTCAGCACTCTGATTGCATTCAAAATAAAACAAAATAATTTGTTATATTTTTTATTTATTAATTTTTTTATTGTTGATTGATCTCTTTGCTTCTTTTCTCTCCGCGTTCATGTCCTATCATCCTCATGCATTTTGTGTGTTTTTTGTTTTTTTTTTCTCATATTATATTTTACTTTTTTATTCTTTTTATTTTTTGGTTAATTCTGCTTGCAGCTAATATTTGTTTTTTGCAATTGTTTTTTTTTTTTACTTTTCTGCTGCTCTTCTGCTGCACATTTATTTTGCCCTTAGGTTTGTTTTTCCTTCTTCCCTTTTCATTCTTCATTCGCCTTTCATTCTGTTTCTGGAGTTACGAAAGCAAATCATCAACTAAAAACCTTTGTTTTGTTTTGTTTTTTTCTTTTTCGAATGCTCTTTTGTATATATAATTTTTGTTTTTATATATATTTATGTATATATACCTACATATATATATATATATATATATATTATATATATTTATTCCCATTGATTTTCGTGTGTAATTATAATTTACTTCTTTATATTTACTCTCAGCATAAGATTTTGTTTAGTTGTGTGATTGAGTGACTTTGATGTGTGTTTGTGTGTGTGAGTGTACGTGTGTGTGTAGTACAGTGTGCCTTCAATCCATGAAAACATATCGAAATATCCTCTCTCGCACAACACTGTCCTGGAGAACAGAACTAAAAGTTTAATAATAATAGCATGTGTCATCATCATCATCATCATCATATACGATAGGTTTGCTTTTCTTTTATACAAGTCTAGAACATAAGAAAATACATAATTCACTTCACATATATTTCTTCCATTATCCTTTATCCTTTACGCTTCCTCTCTCTCATCAGTATCCTCATTAGTATCCATAGTATTTTGTATTTAAATTGTTTTTAAGCGCTTTAACTATTCTTTTTTTTTTGCTCTTATTGTGGTTGTGATTTTGTTTTTGTCTTCTTTAAGTTTTTGTTTAATGCATTTATTTATTTACTTTTTGCAACGTTGTTAATGCGACTTTATTCTTTTAGTACACTTCTTTAGTACAGGGTTGTTTGTTGTTTGTCTCTAAAAGTACTTAACGAGTTTTGCTTTTGCATTTTTGCTTACACCATCATTATCATTCATCATCTGTCGCTTAGCCCGGGTCCTAAGCATACTGGCTACTGGCTACTACATTTTAACATGCTCGTTTTATAGTTTATACATAGTACATATAAATACAATAATAGAAACTATAGTTAAGTTTACCCATACAAGTTCTTGAAAGCAGACACTAAAACCGATTGATTAACTCAGGGTGCAACGGAAAACGACAATCACAAGAATACAAAAACGGAACGCAAATTATATAAATGTTTTTTTTTTGTTTGTTTGTTTGTATGTGTGTGTAACCTATATATATATATACTCGTATTTGAAGGGACACTTATGCTCGTCTTTAACGAGTATGCAATGTATACCTACTATATATCATCCATTTTTGTGTTCATTTTTTCTTCTTTTCAACATTTGTTTTTTTTTTACATTTCCATCATCATTCGCTCTATATAATAATGCTGGTTTTTTTGTTGTTTAAATTCTGATTGGCATCCTATGTGAGCTTCTTCAAACATTAACTAGAGATGGATGCTATAGGAGGGGAGGAGGGAGGGTCTAGTGCTAGTATCTGTGGCGAGTGAACTGGAGTGATTTATGGTTTAGGAATTTTACGAGATATTTCTGTGTTGCTTCGACTCTCTCTCTCTCTCTCTCTGCGGTCCTGTTCCTTGGTGTTTGGTTTTTCTTTGTGGTTTGTGTCTTTAGAGGCAGTTAAGACCTAACATCTGTGTGTGTCTGTCTATTGCTTATCAAATGGCAATTACTATCCTTGGCTGTTAAATCTTTAGCTTTCGGTTTTAATTTCGTTTAATTACACGCTAATATAAAGATGCAAAACCTTCTTACATACGTTGCTTAGTATTTAGGCCATATAGGTTCTTCCTCAATTTCCATTCTTTTCTTTTGTATTCCCTTCGACTCCTCCTGCTCCTGTAGTAGATGCCTGCCTGTCGGCCTCCCCGCTCTCTCTCTCTCTCTCTCTCTCTGCTGCTGCTTTCATATTCCGTGACGTTTTACAAACATATTTTCCATAATAATAACGCTAACGCTGTATTTTTTTCTTAGTGTTTCCTCTTGTTTTTGCATTAAAGATGTAATATGTATACAGTATATGGTGTATATTAACTCACGATTCACAGACACAATTATCTTTAATATTATATGAACTTTTTCTTTCGCGATTGAGAGCAATTCCTTCCACCCTTCAGTAGTAGAACTCGTCGTCTCTCCTAGTTTCCTTTCCTATATGTACTATAATGCATGCTTCTATACTTTGTAATGGGCGTGAGAGTTGAATGAACAAACATACATTATGCATAGTATATTTTTGTTAATATATAAATTTTATATATTTTTATTTCAATAATATACGAGTGCGGCTAAGTGAGTGTGTTGGTTTTTGTTTGTGTGTGTGTGTGTGTGTGAATGAAAAAGGCTGGGGAAAGCAGTCCATTGGCAGTCCTCCCCCCCGACAAGTTGTTTTCCACCTTAGCTACATTTATTTACAAATGAAATTATTGTTGTTTTGTTGTTTTTTTTTTTAGCAAATCGAATGACAATTGTGCGCATTTCTATGAAGAAATATAAACCAGAGAAAATAGTTTCGAAATTAATGTTCTGGAAACTGAAACTGGACCGCTTTCCACAGAGATATATCTTTTGTGTGTGTGTGTGTGTGTGTGTATATAGGATGGATATATGTAGTTATCGCATATAGTAGATGACAGTTTTTAATTTCCAAAACCGTGTTACTCTTCTCTGCAGACGCACATTTGCTTGCTTGGTTTTTTGTTTTTACAATTCATAATTTCTGTTACTGCCCCAGCACTACCTTCTCCTGCCTTACGTACATACATTTCTATATAGATCCATCAGTTATGGGGTATATATATTTCTGTACTTAATCATATGTATAGATTTTTCTGCCAGCTGCTATCTGCTCTCTTTCTAAACGGCTTGCTAAAACATGTTTTAAGCGTTGAAGGGGGTCGAAATGTTTGGAATTTTCTGTATGTTTGAGAGAAGTCTTCACGGAGTGTGTATGTTGTGTGTGTTTGTGTGTGCAACACTTAAAGCTAAGTAACAAAGTTTCGTTTGCATGGATGCGCTGCATTTTATATACAATTCAGGGACTAAGACACGCTGTTCGATCTATGGAGGAGCTGTGTGACAAAAAAAAAATCCAGGGAAATCAATCGAATCCATCATTAGAGCAGCGCAGCTTTCAAATATTTTACACACAGTGAACATTTAGGTGATATTTCTTTTAGCAAGTGTTTTCCTTTTTCTTTTGTTTTTTGAGTATGGGGTATGGGGTATGGGGGATGGCGCTGATCTATATGCTAAGGTAGGGCCTTCTAGTTAGCAGTAGTATGTTTTAGTAGTTAATAATATTCAATGCTCTTTCTTTTACATCAACAATCAATCAATCAATCAATCATAGTTATAGTTATCGGCTCTCTTCTGCTTTTTCACTTACTAACATGATTTTCTCTTTATTCAACTTGGGTTTTCCTTTTTGTTTTTAATGCTTAAACGTAATTAATAATATTTTCCTTCTTTTTTTAATATATATATTTATATGTGTCTGTGTGTGTGTGTGTGCGCGGGTGTTTATGTATGTGTTTGTTTCTGTTGTGTGTGTAGGTGTGGTGTGTCGTTTGTGTAGCTGTAAGATACATTATTTATATAGATTTCCATTGATGCCGCACTCGACGAAGCTTTTGCTCTCCTAACATAACACACACACAGACAGGGGCTTCTGCAAACGCTATAGCTATCGCTCTTACTCCCGATTCCGCTTTCCATTCTGCTTCCACTCCTACTCTCATACTTCCAACCTGCCTCTCAACAGCCGCTCAAGCATCCTCCTCCTCCGCTGACGACCGCTTGGTTGGTGTCTTCGTCAATCGAGTATACATTTTAGTTGTTTGTTTTTTTTTTCATATTTTCTTGTGTTTAAAGTTTAGCATATGTATGTGTTTTTGTTTTTAGTATAACTATTTATCGCCTCTCTCTCTCTCACTGTCTATCCGTCTGTCTCTTGTCTATCTGTTACGTGTGGGATGTGGAACGATAGATGCTTTTACGTGTTAGCCAACGGACTGCGCTTTACGGCTCTCGTGTTTTTTCATTATTGTTAGTTATTTTTCGGGCGCATGCCTTGCGTTTTGCGTGTGCTGCTGGCTGTTTAGTTGTCCGCCGCCTTATCCTGTTTGATTTTTGCATTTGTGGTCGCAGGATTATTTTCACCGCCGGCGCCGCCGCTGGACAGACTTCCGCTGCTGCTGCTATTCGACTGCTGCTGCTGATGAGAGTTAATGGCGGCTGTGCTGCTGGTTGGTGGCTGCAATTGGGAGGACGTGGACGCCGCCGCGTTTGATGATGAAGCGCTGTTCGATGCATTCGCAGCAGCGCTGCCGCCTGCGGTGCGCCCATTAGAACGATTCGATTCGAGTTCGTGCAGCTTCTTCCACAGTTCCTCGCGATCGCGTTCACGTTTCTTTTCCCTAATGGCAAACAATTACAAAATATTATTTATATGCAAATATGCAAAGAAATGTCTTCAGTCATACTTTTGCCTCTCCGCCTTGTAGCTGGAGGTGAGCTCATCGAACAGCTTTGAATTCATTTCCATGAATGTTTTCAATACATTATAGACGAGCGCCACAATGGTCTGGTTCCAGTGCTCCTTGCTGATGCGATATAGAGCCGGGAACATGATGGGCATAATCACCGCATTGTTCTCCTCAATCAGCGACATGGCATACTCATTATTCCACAGATATAGAGCGCGTTCAGCAACCTAAAAGGAAAAGGATACCAATTATAAATTGATTTATTTTGTGAATGAATGAAAAATATCTTTTACCTGAAAATGTGGACTCGAGACACATTTGGCAATCTGCCGGAAGAGCGGCTCCTGTATCTTGACAAACTGCGGCGGATCGATCACATCGAGTATCTCCTCAATTTCGCCCAAGAACATGACCTCCTTTTGGGAACACGTCTTTGGCCAGAATTTGAGCAGGCCCCGCACCACCGGCTCGGTAAGGAATGGATCCTTCTCTAGGAATTGTACAATACAATATGCCAACTGTGCATGATATAGCGATAGGCATTTGACTTTGTGCAGCGGCAACAGAACCTTGACCAAAAACTGTTTATGCTCAGCCTTCAGTGGCAAGGCAAAGCCATTGATGATGCTAATAGAGGTGGAACATAATGGATTAGCAAAGGAATAAAGCATAAATTCACTAGTTTGACTTACCTGCCGAGTATTTCCAATAGTTCGCCTACACCATTGAAATGCTCCGTCTCGTAGATGAATCGCAAGAATATGTTATTGATTTGTTTTCGTATAAAAGCGCGTAATCCTAAGAACTTCCCATAGATGCGATGCAACACCGTCTTGAGAAAGTCACGCTCGCGTGGATCCTCAGAGTCGAACAGTTCCAAGAGCTACCAGAATAAAAGTCATAATATTATACGAAAGACCTTCCATTAAGGCATTCAACTCCAGCGCACCTGCAAGACAAACTTCTGATCGATCACACGCTTGCCAATGGTTGCTTGGAAATCCTGTGATTCCAGGAAGCGTAAGAACACCTCATACACCAGCTGAAGGTGGGGCCAGGAGGCCTCCAATGTTGGATCATCCTCCTCGGGATCAAAGTCGGGATTCTCGCTGGGCGGCAGTGTGCGAAATAAGTTGCAAGAAATCTGCATAAGAAGTTTAAGATTTTATTATGACTTTTCCGTTTGAAATTTTCTCTTTTTTCGCGTACCATGCGTATTATTTCCGGATAGACCGGTTCCGTAAGCACACCGCGCCCATGCGTTATATAGGTGGATAGATCATTGAGTGCCGCCCGCTTGATTTCCTTGCCCTTCAAGTCCGTGACGGGATCCATAAAGTCAAATGATACGCAGCACTGACGCAACTTTCGTATAAAAAGCTCCTCCTGTTCGAGGCTGGAGCAATCGGCTAAGCACAAAATAAAGATAAGACATTTATTAAAGGGTATTCGCAGGGGATAAAAGAACTTTCGAGCTTACCTTTTAGCGGCGGCAATTGCTGCAACTCAACATCCTGTGAATTTCTGTAGCGCGAGGAACCTTGACTCTTTTTACCCTTCTTTTTGAGTGAACGTTTGGCGAACGGGTCGATTCGATCCACAAACGTGCCCCCCGATGACATCTTTTCAGATTTGGGTTCGTTTGAATCGATGGCGGTGGTGGTCTCCGTGGCTGTCTGTGTGGTATTCAGCTTGCCGGCTTTATATCGAACGTTTGCCACAGAAAATTGATCGGCTGCTGCACCACCTGCACCTGACCCACCTGCAGCTGCACTCCCAGGTGCTGCTTCTGCTCCTCCTTCCCCCTCGTCTCCGTCGCCGTCTTCGCCTTCGAAATCGCTTCGTAGGATCTCGACTGGTCGTTTGTTTCGCGACTTGCGTAGCCAACCGAAAATTTTATGTGTTATGTTGGCGACTTTTGCAGTAGAGTTTGGCGTCTTGCAGTTGTTTCCTCGACCTTTGGTTAAGCCGCTACTGCTGCTGCTGGTGCTGCTGCTGCTGCTGCTGCCGCTGCCACCGACGCCTATGCAGAGCTTCTCCTGTTCAGCTTCAGCTGCTGCTGCTGCTGCTGTTGTTCCTGTTGTCCTTTGCTGCTCCTCGAATGGCAACAAATGCTGTGATGTTGGATGTTTCTCTCTGTTCAGTATACCCGTCTGCTGTTGCTGTTGTTGCTGTTGCAGTTGTTGCTGCCTCTGTTGCTGTGTTATGTTGATGGCGGTGTTGAAACGGTAGCGACTTATCTTGACATTTATCAACCAACGTCTGCGGGTGGCATGAAATGTATCTGGCAACTGCTGCTGCTGCTGCTGTAGTTTTGCTTTAAATTCGTTACAGTTGTATTTACACTGCAAATCAATTATAAATCAATTAATTAACACGAAAATCGAGTGATTGAATTATGACCAAACTCACCTGTTTCTAGATTTCCGTTCTGTTTGCTGCTGTCTGCTGTTGTTGTTTTCAGGTTCTTGTTGTTGCTGGAGGGATTGTTGCACTGTTGCGCCTTTCTGACTTTATTTGTGGATAATACTCTCGCGTCTCGCTTAGCTTCTATGTTGCTGCTTCTGCTTCTGCTTCTGCTCCTAAATGGCACATCAATTTTTCGATTGAATCTTTCACATATTCCTCTAGCTGCACTCTCTCTCTGCGTACACTGGCTTTTGCGAGCTCTTCTCTTCTGTCTTGTTGCTTCTTGGTTTATTTTGTGTTTTTTGGCATCACATGCACTGCAAAATACAATAAACGAATTGATATTTAAAAGGTTTTTCAGATAGTTAGCTCCAGCTCTATTTATCAAGGGTAGGCATAGAAATTGCTATACGAAATTGCCATCACAAAACCACAAAAACAAAGCCGCAAAACGAAACTCTGATAAAAAAAAAAGAGAGGCGGGGAAATACATGAAGGTTATATCTAATCGTAGCTCTTTTTTACAGGTGTGCTTGTGTGTGTGTGGGGAACTGTGATTTCTTTGTGCGGACAGATAAGAAATATTTGATAGGAGGATAGGAGCACAGAGACGTATCAGCCAGTGGGGGAATTCACTTTCCCCCGAGGAAAAGCAAAGCCAACATGTTGTTGCCAGGCAAAATGTCGCTTAAGCTTAAGCCTCTGATTGATTTGATTTGATTTGATTGATTCGACAGATGATTGGACATTGCAGCCAACAATTTACATGCCCCCTAAGGGGAGCGAACATTTGACTGAAAACTAGGAAAACGTCTTGCCGCAGAGCCGCACAATCCTTGACGCAAATGCCAGGCAGCAGGACGCAGTCAGCGTTTAATTAAATTTTCACATTCCACTTTGATTCTCATTTAAGCGCGTCCTTTTCCCCCCCGGAAAAAGGCATTGACCGGAAACACTAGTTGGTGCGGCAGATAGGGCGGCGGCTGGCTGTCTACTCGAAGGAAATGTAAAGCGGAAATTAAGACAGAAATGAAGGACATAGCACCAGGAGCAATAAGAGCTGATGGTGGTGCCCATTCATTTGCATGAACTTCAATTTCAATGCAGTGGCAAGTCACGCAGTTTTCACTCGGCAGGAGAAACTCGTTTCACACACAAAAATTTGCACACAAAAATGCAAGTCAAACCTCGGGCGGGCAAGTCCGTGGCCCACAGTCAATTCCCTCGGCAAGTAAAAAACGTGTTAAACATGGCCAACACACACACCCACACACAGATACACACAGGGACTGGCTGTGTAACCACAAGGCGTACGAGTGACAAACAGGTAAATGCGATCAAACTTGGCCAACAGCTGCCTGGCTGCTGCCTGCCTGCCTGATGGTAATGGAAACGATGCGTGGGCGCGTCGCTATGACAAACAAGCAAACGCCTGCATGTATCAGTGTGTGTGCGTGTTGGCCAACCGGAACTGGCTGGAAGAGAGAGAGAGTGGCACACAGTGAAAAAGTTTGCACAGCTGCCTCTTATTCCAGCCACATTTTATACGCTGCTACCACGAGCTGCAGGGTATGTAAGGGAGTATGCTAAAGGGGTATGTAAAACGGTGGAACCTACCCCATAAATATCTATAATATATACAGACTATATTATACAATATAAAGCTAACATAATTATTGTTTTCTTTTCAGTTTTTTTTTTTAAGTTTTATAGATATTTTCTTTCTTTTTCGTGGCATTATAAATAATAATATTATCTGGCTATTTTCAAGAATTCAGTGCAATCAGACAATTTGTAATACTCGTATGTTGAGAAATGTGGTTCCCATAATTTGAAAGAATACGTATTTTCCTTTTTTCCAGAGCTATAAAGCTACTATCAACCTATCTGCCATAAATCAGCACCATAAAACAAAGCATAGATAACTCTTAGGTATCTAACGTTCCACACTGTCCCCCACCTTTTGATTTACACTTTTCCCAGTGCAATAAAATTGAATTTTCCACTGAATATACATACAATATACAGCTCATCAGCTTGTTTACACACAAAGTTTTTGTTTGCTTTTTCGCAGTGTCTTTGGTTTAATTTATCTGAATAACCTTCGCCGTGGGAGGTCGAGCCCCTGTGTACATAAAACAGTAACAACAACAGTAACATCATCCAGTGAACCCCATCGTGACATTTAATAGATCGGATAGATCGGCGGAGATAGCGAAATCTAAGGCACAAACTTGGGATGGGCTGTGCTTGTGCCATTCCATTCCATTCCATTCATTTATTATGCTATTTTATATACACATAAAAGGAAAGCATCAGCGGGGACCCCAAAGAGAATTCCAAGACAAATGACCAACAACAAAAACAACTAAAACAACAGCTGTAGAGCAGCACAATGAATGGTTGACCATTAGGCCTGGGAGTGGGACATTCCCATTCCCTTCCCCCTTTAATCGGTGGGTGTTTCTAAGTGTGTGTGTGTGTGTGTGACCTTATGACATTATTTACTCTGCAGCGAAAAAACAAATAAACAATAATACTTTGTAGAGAGGGCCAAAAGTTCAGGCCCATCACATATTATCCATAGAAGAAACATAAACTAGAGGGAATAACCGAATTTTTGGATACCCTTGAGGAATTTTTTGCATATCAATAGATTCATGGACAAACCAAGGCTATATCCATTTGGTAAATTATAGCTGATCGAAAACACCATGCAAGCATTATTGGGTAGAATCCACGTTCATCAGTCAATCATAATACCCCTTAAAAAATGAGCACTCACTGCATAGGCATATAATAATAAATGGACAGGGCGGCTGCGACTCCCACAAAATATAATGAGACAAGTTTTTGCCTCTTCTGCGCTCTCTCTCTCTCACTCTGCTTCTAGCTTATATTCTTCTCTTCCATTCCATTATGTTTCGCTTTTGTTTTGTTTTGCTTTGTTTCGCTGTTGTTTTCGTGTTGGCATTTGTACGATTTTTCGCCGCTTTACAACCAACAAATGCGACGAGAGGCCGAGGCCCAGCCCCACTCATCGTGTTCGCCAGTCGCCCGGCCAGGCCATCTAATGACTAAGCCACTCGCCTCGACCCACGAACCTCAACCTCTAGCCCATCCCCAGCTGTCGGTCAGACGCCCACTGAATGCCGGGGAAATTCTATTCCATTTCCACACTCACAGTCCAAGTCCACACCACTGGCCGCTCTTCTTCGGTTTCTCTTTGTCACGATATATTTTTGACGCATGTCTATTGCGTCGTTTCGTCTTTTTTAAAGATAATCAATAAGCCACAAAACTGCTTCGAGGCTTGGAATTGCTACCAAAGATTTCTGTCAGCAGACTTTCGTCAATTGTCGCTGGCTTTTGGCTTAAATTCAAGCGAAAACCCTGACCTACACGTAACCCACTCTTCCTCCTTTGCTTATAATAGTTTTTATTGGTCGTATTTTTTTTATTGATTCATTGGTTTTTATTGCTTCTAAGAACTTTGACAAAGAACTCAACCAATCGATAGTTAGTAACAATTTTTGATATATTTTATTGCCATCAAACATTGTCTGGGCGCACTTATGAAATGTAATTTACTTTTAATTCCTTTATTTTTGATTATTTATGCCAATAATGAGTTCGGGTTAACTAACATTGAGTATCAAATTTTTACTGGAGAGAAGATATTTAAACATTTTTTCTTGCATCTCAAAGACTCTTCCTCATAAATGGAATCACAATTTTTAAGTGCCACAATCTTTATTGGGAACCCCTAGGAAATATGCTTGTACGTACACATTTGATAATTGCTTTGCTTTGCTGTGGTGGCGCTTACTGTTCCGGGAAAATATCACCACATATCCATAGAGTGGCGTCAAGTGCAAATATTTAATGAATATGTTTCAATTGATATCTGGAAATGGCAGCTCATGTTTACACGACGACTCGACATTGTGGTGGCAATTGAGAATCAACTATTTGCTATTTCTATTCAAATAAACGTCAATATACCAACGTCAATATACAAATAATGAATTGCACAACTCCAATCTCCTTTTCGCCATGGTAAAAGATTATTCAGCGTGTTGCTGCTAAAAAAATATAATTTAAAACGATTTAAATTTGTGTTAAAATTAAATTTTCCCGTGTATCAAGTATTTTTCATAGAAATTGATAAGCCTAATTGAAAATTTCATGTATTTTTGCTGGAGTTTATATGAAATTCCCCTAGGGGCTTTCATCATATTTGTGACGATTATTAGGTGAAAAGTCTAAGCTTTTTGCACAGGAAAAGCAATGATAATGTCGCACGAGAGATGATAAGCACAAAAGTCCCTTTACCGCTACCTCGACATCCGCTGGCGCCACCCCCTTCGTTCCATCATGGGGGGCCGCGTGTTGGGAAAAAATTGCGCACTGTTTTCATTTTCGCTTTCGCTGCGCGTACTTGAAACGTGTCTCAGGAACTGCATGCGGGGGAAATGCATGGAAAAACTACGCAGTAAAAATCTTCGTTGTCCATGGAGCGAGGGTGAGAGGGTGGTGGTGGTGGGTAGGAGATGGAATCTCACACCCTAAACAAAAATCCTCACACGAGAGGAAGGCGTTCAGAGGAAAGAGTTCATGGACGGATGAGAATTTCATTTCTCGTCAGCTGCAGAGCAGCAATGCATGACTGGAATGAGTGGAAAATGCTTACACAGTTTCCACAGTTTTTTTTTTGGGGGGAGGGTGGGAGGTGGAAGTTCTCTCCTCTGAGAAAATTACAAGCTGCGTTCCGTTGCGTGTTTGGAAATCTCTACTGGCGAGAGCATCTACAATCTCCATCATCCCATCCCATAATCCCGCATGCATGAAATTTATTTACGTCTCCACGCAGGGGCAACAATTATCGAGGAAAGCTACCGATCGATCCAAATGCGAATTGTGGGCTCCAGTCTTATTAAAATTTTCATCCATTGCGCATTGGAAATTCAAAACCTTGACCTCCCTTTGGTGGGATGTATCCCTCTCCGCTTCCTCTATGTGGCTGTGCCTCTGTGGCTGTATTGATATCATTAAATCAATCAAATCAGCATCCACCCATCGACATTTGCATATGCGAGTGGTGTGTATGCATGAATACATTGCAGGAGGCAAGCAAAGCCAACAGTTGGGGTAGATAAAGAGACAGAGCCACAGAAGAGCGGGAGGAAGAAGGAATATCCATCTGAGAGAATCAAAATGCAAATGTTTTGCGTGCATCTCATGTCACGTAGCACATCCCACAACCCAGCCACAATCTTTTCTCGAAGGTCTTTGCTTTTGCGGGATTTCCAAGCTT